AGTAATTGAAGAAGAGGCAAGGCTGCCGAGAGAATGGTATGAGCCTCCGGTAAGCCAGAATATCTCTAGAACATTTGTAGATGAAACTTGAGGGAAAGCAACAGACTGATGTGAGAGAACGGGTCTGCCAGGATTCCTGTTGTAATCTCTTCTCATTGGTGATAGGAGTGGAACCACCACAGTACCCAACACATTGTGTAAGCAGATGACAGTGACGCTTCATGATGAAGTCGGGGGGATTGCCCAGACATGACTTAATAATGCATGCTGAAAGTGACACACTTTTAAAGGCACTTGGGAATAGATTTAAATATGTCTCAGAGACTCTAAGAGAATAAAAAACAGCATGAAGATGCTTTCACTAAATAAATAAAAGGTCATTGAGAATGTATCAGCAACTGCCACTGCATATGCCTGCTTCCTTATCTCTGTAAAATGGTTGAGAAAGAACTATGCATACATCGAGGCTATCTCTGTTGAGAACATTAGAAGGGAACAAGCAGACTTTTGCAGATGATTTTTTATAGCAGACCACATCTTTACAATCATATAATTCACCAAAAGGCCCGTGAAATATACAACTCTGCTTTATTTCTCATTATGATTTGATTCCGCAGAAGAAAATACTGCTTTTAAATGATCTCCTTCAAATGATCTCCCTCAAACAAAGCTGTCTCCCATGCACAAAATAAGGCAAGATTCTATCACCTATGACAATGGATGTGACTTTATTTAATGACCCACTGAGTATGATCATCATTTGAAGCAAAAAACAGGAAAACACCTAAGGTGTTTATCCATGTCATGGATGGATCTGTGCTTAGAATCTAAATAGAAGAACTCCCTCCTTTGTTTTTATTCACAGATGATAGTTGTCTAATTGCATCAAACCACAGAACACCCCAATGCCTCATCAATGAAATCTGTAATTATTTAAGAAGATTGATTTAACTATCTACAAGGGGAAGACAAAGTTGATGACCAATGCATATTGCTCAGATTATGAGATGCAACTGATCAGACAGTGGAATTAGTGAGTCCATCCATATGCATCACTTGGACAGGAATTCCAGCTAAACCATGTGTTAGGCCCAGAGTTGAGTAGAAAGAAGAGATCAGGCCAGTTGACATCTAGACAACAGCTCTGCTTCAAAAGCCCTTCTCTTTAACACCAATATTCCTATTGCCCCTAATGTGTATCTTTGATGCTTTCGTTTTCATGTGACCCTGACCCTGAATTCTTGAAAGATACAACAGTGGATTACAAACTCTGTGAGGTCTTACCATTTGGGCCCAGCATCAAACTCTAAATCTTGTTATCCAGGCACCAGCCTACCTTAATTTGAAGAGGTTAACTATCAGGCTGGCTACAAGGCATGACTGTATTGGCCATAGCTGCTCTTTAAAGATCATTCACTGAAAGGGGTGTTAATCTGTGCTGGTAGAAGGAGTACCCACACCGATGAATCACAGACTCTAGTAGAACTGAAGCACTCCACTGATGTGGCTTTATATAGCTGTGAATCATGGAATAGCATTCTCTCAAACAAATAAAATATTCCGGTGCCCCAGAAGAGAATGGAAAGATGCATGATGGATATAAATAGGCCACAAACATTGCCAGTGATGAAACTTGTCAACTATGTTGGTTTTATTTTTTGTTTTATTTTTTGTTTTTTGGCTAGGCAGTGGGGTTAAGTGACTTGCCCAGGGTCACACAGCTAGTAAGTGTCAAGTGTCTGGTCTGAGACTGGATTTGAACTCAGGTCCTCCTGACTCCAGGGCCAGTGCTCCATCCACTGTGCCACCTAACTGCCCCTAAGTATGTTGTAAATGAGGGTATTTTTCTATGTAAATCTTGGACTAGATGATTTCTGAGGCCCCTTCCCCCTCTGAGTTTTTGTGTTTCTGTTATGTTGTCATAAAGAATGGTGTAAAACATATCATCAAGGACATATAGGATGGTGAGGAAAATGGACTGATCATATAGAGAAAATGAAAGACAATAAGTGGGCAGTATAAGCGCCACATTTGGTAACTTCGAAACAGTAAAAGAACCAGAGGAAAGTCTCTAGTATGTTGGGTAGTTCTTCTGCATTGGCTTTATGGAAGGACATGGGCAAGAATCCCACAGATTGAAAAAGCAATAAGGGATTTTGATCTGTCTTGGTGCTCATAATGAAGAGATCAGTGTGGTGACCTAGCATATTGTGACCTGAGGGAGCAAGTCACCGGTAGAGCAAAGATACCAGGGTGCATGAGGTTCTGAAGGAAATGCCCAAGTAGGAGATTGTCTCTGGGAAGCAGAATGAACTTGAAAATTTTAGAGCTAGAGAGAACTTTACATACTTTCAGACTTGGCTCCCCTCCCCCAACTACCACCATCTTTTTAAACAAATTAACTCAGGCCCAGAGTAAGGAGTGTCTTTTTGGCCTGACCTCTCCTTGGTCCTTTATCTTTTCTTTCTGGAGTCTCTAGCCCTGCCTTCTTAATTCTTAGCTCATTTCTTAGGAAATATACAAAATTTTCTTTTGCTTTCTGGCTTATGCTCGGTTCTTTTTAAAAATAGATTTTTATTGATATCTTTCGTCCTTACATCATCTGGATTTCCCCTTGTATTTCTTTCCTTTCCCTCTCCTAGAGAACCATTCTTTATAATAAAGAAATAAAATTAAAAAGACAAAGAAAGAAGAGAAAAAAATTTCAGCAAAATTAATTAATAACATTTTTAAAAACCCTCTTCTTTAGGGCCGGGCTGATTCTTTAAAATTCCTCATTAGGTTCAGGTTAAACAAATCAAGAAAGAAACTAGCTCGAGGACTAATATAGCTTGAATGCTTTTCTGTTTCTGGCCATGTTCCACCCTTCAAGCTGGACCATTGGAAAGCCTGCCTAAGAGGACCTAAGCCACTCAGTTCTGTACTCCCTAGGATCATGCCTTCTCATCTTCGCCCTGGACATCTTCATGCCCTGCCCTCTTCCCTTACAAATACCCTCCCCTTCTTTCCTTGCCACCAGTTCCCTTTACGTCTTGCCTTCTCCTATTAGAGTGTAAGCTTCCTGAAGGTAGGGAACTTCTCAATTTTGTCTTTGTATTTTCATCCCTTAGCTTGGCATATTTTAAGCACTTAATAAATGCTTTGTCATACATCCATTCAGATGTGCAAAATGTCGAGAGACCGTCGGTAGTGAAAATTCTTAAAAAAAGGAGTATCTTATTGAATTGAGGTATTTTAAGTAACATATTCCATAGTGTGTAAAAGAACTTTCTAGGTGGGTGTTCTGGAGAAGGGTAGTCTAATGTCCTATCCAGGGAATATCCAGAGTATGAAAATTCTTCCTACATGAAGGAATAATCTCCCCTGGATTGATAGGATTCAGGGAAGGAAGGAGAACAAGTAGGAGACCTTATGGTCAGGAAATAGCTCAGGAAACAATAGTATATGCTTTTCTGTTCTGTAGGTTTGCCTCAGGAATGTGTGGAAGAAGGTGGCTTTGAGGTCTAGGGTTTTACTTTGAGGAAGAGGTATTGGAGGATGATTATATGGCCCTGGGAATATTTGTTCAGAGATGGAAGTGTCCCAGTGAGTGTCTCTGCATTAACAAGGGGCATATGGGAAATGTGTATCTGGCCTATAATGATAACAATAATAAAAACATCAACATTAACAATACATGGCAATTACATAATGATTTAAGATCTGCAAAACAGCTTTAGCTATGTTATCTCACTTGATTCTAACTACAACCCTATGAAGTAGTTGCTATTAGTATGCCCATTTTACAGATGAGAAAAATGAAGCTTCAGGGACTTGTCTACGAACCATATTCAAGCTACGTTTCCATAACATTATACTTCCGTGGTTGATTTTTCAAAAAAAAAATCTTAATGTAGCTAGTGGGATTCAAACCCAGGTTTTTGCTGATTCTACATTTAGTGCTTTTCATTATACCTTGCTTCCTCTTCCTTTGATCAGTAGTATGCTGATCAAAAGAAGCTATATCAGATTTTCTCTTTCTTTTCTTTTTTTATGGGGAAGGGGTGCTTGGGGGATTAGGTCTCCCTGCCTTGCCTAGCCTGGAAGCACAGAAGCCACTCACAGGCAAACTCCTACTGCTGACTGTCGAAGAAATTTTAACCTATTCCAGTTATGCCTTGGGGTAGTTTGCCCTCCTTAAGCAGCCTGGTGGCTCCTTGCTTCTGGGGCTCACCACATTGCTGCTGGACTTAGTTTGGACAGCTAATTAGTTTAATCCACTGTAGCTCAGAACCCCCCAGCTGGAGCAATTCACTAGTTCAAGGCCTCCCTAGTAGTAGAAATTACAGTGTGTACCACCTAGCTTGGCTTTTGTTTTTGTACAAGGGCTTATTCCCTGGGCAATGAAGGCTGCAACATAATTACTTCCTCCTCCAATTTTTTTTATATAGGTAAAATGAAGTTAAAATGATAATTAGTAGCAGCTTTGTAGGGAAAAACTAGTCACAGAAACCAGCATTTTGCCTGAGGGTGGGAAGGGTCAGTGGGCAGTATTACTATCTGGTCTCAGGGAAGGGAGAGGTGAGGTTTGAAGGAATATGGTTTTATGTCTGTATGCGAGCCTTATATTTTGTGCATGTGTTTTCTTTCAAAACCCCTGATGGTTGAATCACCTTTTTCTCCATCTTTGGATTACTCCTTGAGTGGGGAGGAATCAATGGATTTCAGGAAGGTTTTGGCAAAAGGTGATTGTTCTATTCTTTGGGGCTACTGTTTTCTGTAAAAAAGGTTAGAGTGAGGGTACCAAATGATGACCATCTCTATGGTCTTGCCTATAATGAACCTCACAGAGAAGATGGCACCTTGGTTCAGCAGTGCCAAGTTCTTAAATTATAAACCTTAAATATCATTTGAGAATCATCATATTTATTTATTATATTTAGGTATGACATATGAAAATCGACATGTAATTTGGAAAACTATATTCTGTTTACTGATGAATGTTGTCTTTTAAAATGCAGGTGAAGCCATATAACATCTATATAACAATTGCCTATCCACCAGATACAGACACCCCAGGTTTTGCAGAAGAAAAGAAAACAAAGGTAATAATGTATTTGCTTTAGTATGTGCCTTTTGATGTTGTTTTATAATGCTGCAGACTCCATGTTTTTCTGACAGGTAGGTGGCACAATGGATAGAGTTCTGGGTCTAGAGTCAGAAAGACCTGAGTTCAAATGCAGCCTCAGATACTTCCTAGCTGTGTAACCCTGGGCAAGTCACATGAACTGCTTTTGATCTATCTTCCTATAATCCTATATTTACATGGTTGATTTTAAAAATAAAAACCTTACTGCATTAGATGTCATCTTGTTTTAATTGGTGGTAGTAGAGATGCAAAAAAAATCATGTATCATTTTAAAAAATCAGTCACATTAAAAACACAGCAGAAAAGAAAAAAAAATTCAGGAAGGGACACAGAGAGCCATTTGGTACTACCTTGTCAATTTTAATTATTATTTTCCAAAAAAAAACCCCCAAGACCCTCAAACTGTAACAGAAGTTCACAATTTCATATATATTCTTCTTTTTTTGTTCTTTATATATTGAAATGTTTGTGTTTGTTGAAAAATCTGTCCTTTCTCTAAAGGTTTCTGTTTCTGATAAGGGCACTACAATTCTCATAATCACCTCTGAATTGTCTTTGGCCCCTCCCATTCCCCTCCCACCAAAATCCAGCCAGCTGCCACATCTTGTCAATTCTTCTATAACATTCTCCCCACTTCCAGTTTTTCCTCTCTGCGATGTGTCATCCACACAGCTGCTAAAAGAATCTTCCTAAGGTACAGGCCTGACCTTGTCATTCCTATACTTAAAAGTTTTCAGGATAAACTACAGACTCCTCAGGCTGATATTTCAGGCCCTCCATATTTTTCTTTTTTTCTTTCTTTTTTTTAGGCAATTGGGGTTAAGTGACTTGCCCAGGGTCACACAGCTAGTAAGTGTCAAGTGTTTGATCTGAGGCCAGATTTGAACTCAGGTCCTCCTGACTTCAGGGCCGGGGCTCTGTCCACTGTGCCACCTAGCTGCCCTCCCCACATTTTTCTAGATTATTTCACACTGTTCCCCTTCATGCACCCTCCTTTTCTGCCAGACAGGAAGTCAGCCGTTCCTCTCCTGCTTTCATGCATTTGTACAAGCAGTCCTAGCTCCTACCTCCCTGGAATGCAGCCTCTCCTTCTGGGCCTCTTGGCATCCTTGTCTTTCAGGCTCAGCTCAGGTGTCACCTCCTTCCTGACTACTTCCCTGATCTCCTCCAATCTTAACACAATTCTCCTTCTTGAATTACCTTGTATTTAGTCATCTGGGTATATGTTACATTACTCTTATAATATATGGTCTGTGAGGGCGGGAACTGTTTTGGTTCTGATTTTTTATCTTTTGCACTTAGCAAAGTACCTTGTACAAACAGAGTTATGTTGCAATGTGTGTGTGTGTGTGTGTGTGTGTGTGTGTGTACACAACAAATGCTTGTTCAATCAAATCAAATATTCATTTGCTGAGAACCTTCACAAGGGAGGATCTGCTTCTCATTCTTCCATCTTTGCTACCTTTGACACTCTGTTGACCCGTCTGGTCCTTGAAGCTCTTCCCTTGGCTTGAGTGATACTGAATTCTCGAGGTTTTCTTCTCTCATTTGAGGTGCTCCTTCACTGTCCCCTCCAATGTCTCCTCTTCCTCTTCCCACCCTCAAAATGTCTTTGCTCCCCAGGTTTCAGATCTCTGCCCTATTCTCTTCTCTCTCTCCAGTCTCTCGTTTGGTAATTTTATTTGCTCCTGTGGCTTCCTCTGCTGCCCTTCTGCAGACAGATGGCTCCCACGCCTGTATTTCGGTTCTGTCCTTTCACCTGCCCCTCCTTTTGCCTTCCCTGTTTGTGCTGGTCACCTGGGCTCCCTAATGTCATTGGCTCCACCCTCCCCCTTGCCCCTCCTCTAGCCTATCAGTGACCAAGTCCTGCCCATTACAACTCCCAGACTCACATTTTTGTAGCACTCAGAGGTTTGCAAAGCACTATCCTCACAACCGCTCTGTGCCGAGGTGGTTCCAGTGTTATTATCCCCATCTTGTAGACAAAGAAACTGAAGCTCTGAGAGAGAGTACGGAAGCTGCCCGGGATCACAAAGCTAGTGAATGTCTGATCAGAACCTGTGCTCCACCATGGGCCTTTTCATTCTCCCTCCTGCCATGTACATAGGTTTAGGCTCCTGTCACCTCATCTGGATCACTGTAATAACTTCCTAACCTATCTCCCCCAGGACATCCCATCCTACACATTTTAGTCAGATTATTCTTTTTAACTTAATTCTAATCTTTTTCATCCCAATCCTGTTAAATCCTTCTTGAAATCATAAGCCTTCAGTGACTCCTCACTGCCTGTAGAATAAAGTCCTAAAAGAGATAAAACCTGCCCAGGATTGTCATGATTTGGCCCAATCCTTCCTCTTCAGCATCATTTCTCCTCCTCTTTGTGCCATCTAAACTTCAACTATACTATTATTGCTGTCTCTGAATGCACTTCTAATTTTCCTATTTCTGTGCTTTTGCTAATGCTGTTGTTTCAGGCTAGAATGTCCTTTCGTGGGCAGTTGGGTGGTGCAGAGCACCAGGCTTGCAATCGGGAGGATCTAAGTTTAAATCTGGCCTACACTCACTAGCTTTGTGACCCTAAGCCAGTTACTTAACTTCTCTGGACCTCAGTTTCCCCATCTGTAAAATGGAGATAATAATACACTGCCTTCCTCACAGGTTTGTTGTGAGAGAAGCACTTTGGAAATTGTAAATTTCTTTATAAATATGTTATTACTATATTATATACTCACATATTTGTTGAATGAATGAATATATTGCCATTATGGCCCTGAATATTGGAGAGTGTATATACTATACCTGTATAGTAGATACAGGTCAGTACTAGCTATACTATATGTAGTATATACTATACCTGTATAGTATATAGTATATACAGTTAAGAACTAGCTTTGTAACTTCATCATGGAGAGTTGCCTGGGTTGCTGAGAAGTGAAGAGACTTGGCCGCTGTCACATTGCCAGGAGTGTCATCAGAGGCATGACTTGAAACATAACTCATCCTGACTCCAAGGCTGATTGGCCCTCTATGCTTTACGCCAGGTATTCTTAACCTATTTTTGCATCATGTACTCCTTTGGCAATCTGGTGGAGCCTATGAACCCCTTCTCTGAATAATGTTTGTAAATGCATAAAATAAAATACAAAATATTACAAAGGAAACCAATTATATTGAAATCCAGTTACCATAAAAAAACCTTTTTTTAAATTTACAGACTTCATTAAATCTTTCTATTGATTCCCCTCTCCCTTGGGACCTGGTGGACCCTAGGTTAAGAACTCCTGTCCTAGAGTGTTCCTGAATCTGAAGTTTGATTAATTCACCCATAACTACCATTCATCAGGATAGGGTGCTAGGCCTGAAGTCAGGAAGACTCATCCAAGTTCTGATTGGGTCTCAGATACTAGCTGTATGACCCTGGGCAGGTCACTTAACCCTGTTTGCCTCAGTTTCCTCATCTATAAAATGAGCTGAAGAAGAAAATGGCAAACCACTCTGTTATCTTTGCCAAGAAAACCCGAAATGAGGTAACAAGGAATCAGACATGACTGAAATGACTCAACAATAACAACAACAACAACAACAACACACACACACACACACACACACACACACGGCACATTTGACTAGAACTGACATCACGCTACCTGACGGCTCCAGCTTATTCTTAGTATTTCGTAAGAAGGGCCACAAAAAAAGTCTGCCCCCACCACTTTGCCTCAACTGCACAGGGAATTTCCAAACTTCTAACATGGACCTCAAAGCCATCAAAATAATACATATTTATTTATTTGTTTGTAATTTTAAAAGGCTATTGCTCTATTTCATTGATGTTTAATTTTTACATTACAACCATGTACAGATTACTCTCACTTCCTGAGAGGTCTTTTGTAACAAAGTAAAAGAGTTAAATTAAACCAATATTGGGGAGACCTCATCTGAAAGTACATGCAACATTTCACATCTGTAGCACCACCTAATCTCTTTTTTAAAAAAATTAATAACTATACTGTCTCTTCCTCTTACCCCCACCTCATTGAAAAAAAAGAAAAGAAAAACAAATTTCTTATGACAGATATGCAAAGCATGCATATTTAAAATATCAAGCAAGACATATTCTTTCTATGGTTGTATACAAAAATATTTATATCTCATTCGGTGCCTTCAATCAGTCATCTCTCTAGAATGGATAGCACCAGTAATACAAAATAATACAAAGTGATTTCCAGAGGGAGAGAGCAGTAAGGACTAGGGGACTCAGGGAAGGGTTCACATAAGAAGAGAAATCTGAACTATGTCTTAAAGAAGGCTAAGGAACCCAAGGGACAGATGAGAGTTGCTTTCCAGGCCTGGGGGACCATGTGAGCAAGGACATGGAGACAGTGTAATAGTGTCATGCATGAGGAAAAGCCAGCTAGCCATCCACATCTCTGATAACCTTTTTACCTAGTATAAATGTAATGTATCATTAGAAAGGATCATGGTTGACTGTGTAAGGTTTCATACATCACTTTAAGGTTAGCTAATATGCCTGGCCACTTCCTGAATGGATTCTTTCCCTTCAGTTTACAGTCTAGAACCCGTTAGAATTCCTGGAACTTCTATTAGGAATTCTAGAGAGTCCATTTTTCCTTCAAATGCCACAGTTCTTTTATGCATAGGATAAAAATATCCTGTTCTTTTAGGAATTCTCTTTTTCTCTTATCAAATAGGCTATTTTTGATGGTTCTAAATTGTCCCCCATTTCCAACCTATGTATTATGATGAAAGAAAAAAACCAAACAAACAAACCAACACTTGAGTCAAAAGACCTAGGCTCCAGTTCATACTTTAACATTTACTAATTAGGTGACTAAACCATTTAGCCTTCCTGAGCCTCAGGAAAAAAACCCCAAAACAATAATACATTTAATATCTACTTAATCTGGTGGTTGTATGAAAGAGTTTTGTAAAGTACTATAAAAATCCAGTCTGTTTGTGTCTGAGGAGATTAGAAAGTTGCAGTGTTATTTTTTTTCAGGAAAAAAATGTTTTAGTGTTTAATTATAATTTGCATTTACTTTGTGTTTTGTAGTTTAAAAAAGTGAAATTTGTGAGAAAGGTCCTTACAGCATCCTATTGAAGTTGGCAGTGAAAGTATTGTCGTTTCAGTTTCATAGATGAGGAAACTGGGGTTCAGAGAGTTAAAACTGATTGCAATCAAATACTAGTACGTAGAACCAAGACTCCAACTCTGTTGATTTTTTTTATAATTTCATTTATTTATTTATTTTTTTGGCAAGGCAATCGGGGTTAAGTGACTTGCCCAGGGTCACACAGCTATTAAGTGTCAAGTGTCTGAGGCCACATTTGAACTCAGGTCCTCTTGATTCCAGGGCCAGTGCTCTATCCACTGCGCCACCTTGCTGTACCTTATTTATTTATTTTTAAATATTTTGATGTACCATGTTACTTCTGGACTGATTAGCCCTTAGCACCTTAAATTCTGGAATCTATGATAGTTTCCTTGCTATTTTGTAAGACTGCTTAATAAGTCTTAAGATCTTCAGAAGAAAATTGGCACTTAACAGGCCATGGCCTCAGCATTTGTAAGATATATTTATAGTTTAGAAGCTTTTTTTCCCTGTGTTTCTCTCTTTCTCTGTCTCTTTCTCTTTCTCTATGTCTCTCTCTCTCTTTTTGATCTCTTTGTCCCTGTCTCTTTCTCTCATTTCGTCCACCATTTAAATTTAAGCCAGATGTCTTGTCTTAGGGTAGAACAGATTAATCTGTTTTTAGAGAAGCTCTGCAAAGCAGATTTATAACATTGAGTAAATAGACTTTTGTTCCTGGAGTGGGGATAACAGTGCATGATGGTTTCATTTTTACTCAGCCTCCAGAATAAATCTTTAAATGGGGTTTCTTTTCCCCAGCAAAATGCTACACTGGCTACTATGGGTGAGGACAATTCTCCATTGGTCCTTTGGGTGCTTGGGGGGTTATCGCCACTCATGTGTACTGGAGAACTAGTTAACTCAATCCACAGCCACTAGTGTCTACTAGAGAACTAGTTAACTAGCTCTATAGTCACTAGTGTGTGCTAGAGAACTAGTTAACTAGCTCTATAGTCACTTGTTTTGCTAGAAAACTAGTTAACTCAATCCACAGCTACTAGTCTACTAGAGAACTAGTTAACTAGCTCTATAGTCACTAGTTTTGCTAGAGAACTAGTTAACTCTATAACCACTAGTGTGTGCTAGAGAACTAGTTAACTAACTCCATAACCACTAGTGTGTGCTAGACAGCTAGTTAACTAACTAGTGCCAGTGAGCTAGAAGGATTGGTACACCCTCCAAAGAGCCAGCATCTCAATCTTAGTGTGATTCCCATACCTCAGGACTTGTTACCTCAGTCCTATGATTTGACTTTTCTCTTATAAAACACTTCATAAAGGACATTGTTGTTGTTCAAATAGTGCAGTTACCTTCAATTATAAAATGCAGCTGCTTTTGAGAGTTTGGCACAGCATGATTTAATGGTATGTGTGCCATAGTGCTTGTGTTGGGCATTTCTGTTCCAAATGTTCCTGTTCGTATTCTCATCAGATTGATTCTGATGCCAGAAATAATGCCATTTGAAGCATACGTAGTCTTAGGTTTGTTCTGTTCTGTTTTGTTTTGTTTCATGCAAACATCTTATCTCAGTAAATGACCTTGGTAACAACTTAGCACTGCCTTTCAAGGTGACCTGTTCAGGTGTGGGTCAGACCAGATAACCTCTGAGATCTTTTTCAATACTGATGAGCTTATAGTCCTTGGGAAAAGGATATCTGAACCTGGGAGCTCTGAGGCACGAGGGTACTATACATACAACTTTAGGGTTTGCAGAGTTTTTTTACATATGCTATCTCATTTGATCCTCAAAACATTTCTGTAGAGTAGATACTGTTGTTATCCCTATTTTACGTTTATAAAATATTTTAAGGTTTGCAAAGAACTCATGGACTCGATCCTCACAGTTTTGAGAGAGGTGTTACTATCATTCCCATTTTATAGACTAGGAAACTGAGGCACAGAGCAGCTAAGTGACTTGTCCAGAGTCATACAAAGTCTTTGGGACTCCAGGTCCAAAACTCTACACCACCTAGTGACTTGCCCAGGGTCACACACCAATAAGGCCGAATCTGAACTCAGATCTTTCTGACTTCAAGTCCAGCTCTTTACCCACTGAATATATTAAATTATTAAATGTACTAGAAAGCAAGGTGCTTGACTAGAAGAATGGACCCCTTACAGATAAATAGTATTTACATAGCAATTTAAGTTTGGCAAAGTGCTTTTACATATGTCGTCTCATTGTTGACAGACCCAAAAGCTGAAATTTTATTATCTATTCATCAATTTACCATAGGAATAGGGATAAAGAATAGTTTCTTAGTGATTCATAAGAAGACCCCTTCCCAACTTCCTAAGAATCCTAATAAGATTCCTTGGACTGATACTGAACTGTCTCTTTGCTGAAGTCTTTAGCTAATAGTTAATGCTCGGTAGGCTGTAATCCAAGCCTATTCATAGTGAGGATGATCAGAACCTTAGTGCTAATCTTCAGACAAAACTTTTCTAAGCCACAAAGTCCAGTCTGCCCTCTGTCCAAGGTACTGCCTGTCAATTGGCAACCTGGAGGAATGTGTCCAGAGAAGGACGGTTTCTATGTATGCACAAGTGTATTTCCTCTCCAACTGGGGTGACAAAACACATGTCCTAGAGAAAGCAGGGCATCACTTTACTTCTACTACCTCCCTTCCCCCTGGGAGAATTTTACTGTCACTATGAAGGAGGAGGCACTCATAAATTTCAGACCTTTTCTTGAATATAAGAACTTAATCAAAAGGAGAACATTAAAAAACCTAGAAAAATATTTCCCTAGAAAAAGTAATCTCAGCCTTTAATTTAATTAGCATTGTAATGATATTGACACATATACTTTCTGCTTCCTAAGCCTTTAGAGACTCAGCTTATTTCAGAGACCTCATCACTTTGTAAACCAGAACAAGTGGCAAAACAAATTGTCAAAGATGCCACGGTAAGTAAAATCTCTATTTTTTTCTTCTTTTGCTTGGATTGGCAGCACCACATGCTTAGAAAGATATGTGCCCCAAGCTTATTTCAAAACATAAATAATTGTATGTAGTTTTTAATAGAACTGAATTAACTTATTAAAGGAATAGAATTCATAATGCTTAATGTCAGATGCCATTCTTTCTTTCTGTCTTGAACACTCTAATAACAGAATTCTGAACACAGTATTTCTTAACATCAAAAGCAAGTTTACCAGTATAGTTCTTAGAGAATCCAAGTTCATTAAAAAGACTCTCATGAAATCTCAAACATGAGGAGCTTATGAGGTATTAAAAATCGTGCACACTATAGATGACACGTGTTACAGATCTGTTTCTTCCTTTTTAAAGCCATTTTTTTTTGTTATTCAGAGGTTTACTGTCCTATTTAACTCACCAGGAGCCTACTGCCTCTTTCTTCCTCCTATTGTCCATTACTATTTTCCTGAATGTTAACTAGTAATTATAAAATGTAATTGATTTTCAGGGTATCTCATTTCCTCTTGGCAAATGGGTTTTCTGAAGTAGTGGTGTTAGTTCACTGTAAGAGAGGGTTTGTAATAATATAGCTATCAGATTATCTTGGACTTGAGTTAATCAGAAAATCAAGACAGTGAAATTGATCAGAAAGTATTTGTGAGTTATTCAGCATTTTGGAATCATAGGATCATAGATTTAAGGCTGAAAGAATCTTTGAGGCCATCTAATCCATCATTTCACAAGAGAGGAAACTGAGGCCTAAAGAGGCTAAGTGATTTGTCCAAGAGGCAAAGCCAGTTGGGACTTGAACCCACATCCTTTAACTTCAAATCCAGAATTCTTTGTAATGTACCATTCAATATGCATTTATTAAGTATCTACTCTATGCCAGGCAATATAGTAGGTGATAGATATATAATCAAAAATGAAATAACCCCTGCCCTTAAGGAGCTTATATTCTACTTGGGAAAGTAGCCCATTCACAAATAAATACAAATTTTTAAAATTCAAAGTAATTTCAGAAGAGCACCAACAACTGAAATAATTAGGAAAAGCCTTTTGCAGGAGTGGCCCTTGAGATGAACCTTGAAGGATGTTAGGAATCCCAAGAGGTAGAGGTGAGGAAGGATAGCATTTCAGAAATAAGAGCCAGCCTGTGCAAAGATATGGTGGCGGGAAATGGCATTCCATGAATGAAGGACAACAAACAGGCTGGTTTAACTAGAATATGGAATATGTAGGGGAAGTAATAAAAAAAAATCAGTCTAGAAAGGTGCATTAGAAGCAAGTTGTCAGGGGCCACAAATACCAAACAAAGGAGTTTTTATTTTATTCTAGAGGCAATAGGGAACCATTGATGTTTCTTGAGCAAGGGAGTGACTAGGTACAACATGAGCTCTAGTAATAGTAAATTGGCAGTTGTGTGGAAAATAGATTAGAGGGGGGAGAAATACCTGAGGCAAATAGAAAAACTAGGAAACTATTGCAATAATTCATGTAAGAGGTGGATGAGGGCTTGAACTATGGTAAAGGCTGTGTGAGTGGAAAAAAATGGGGCTGGATATAAAAGATATTAGGAAGATAGAACTAACAAGATTTTGTGGATTGGAAATAGGGGAAGGGTGTTTGGGCAAGTGAGGTGGGGAAGTGAAGAGTTGAGGAGGATGCCGAAGCAAACTTAGGTGCCTGGAAGGGTAGAGATGCCCTTGGCTGAAGAGGAAAGTCAGTAGAATTGATGGGTTTAGAAGGAAAGATCAAAAGTTCTGTTTGAACATGGCAAGTTCAAGATGCCTGTGGGACAATCCAAGTATATGTCTAACAGTCACTTGGTGAAATGGAACCGGAGCATAGGAGAGAGGCAAGGACTATACATATAGATTTGGAAGTCATCTTTGTAGATATAGATAGTGGAACCCATGGCAGCTAATGAGGTCACAGAGAGTATCGCTATAGAGAGAAGAGAAGGCCCAGCTAGGAGAGCCTTGGGGTACAACCACACAGAGAAGGCAGGCCATGGATGATGAATCCTATAAAGGAAGAATTGGTCAGAAAGGAGAGAACCAGAGAGAGCAGTGTCGTGACACCTGTAAGGGAAGGGGATATTGAGGAGAAGGAGGGATTTGCCAACACTGTGTAGAGGTCAAGAAGGTTGACTGCTGCTAAAACTTCTAAGGAGAAGTAGAACTATTTCTTAGCAGGGAAAGAGGTTGTTTATCTTACTTTATTTCAAGGTCAGAGTTAATGGTCCCAATGTTTTAAAGTAACCCTAAATGGTTCTCTGCATTTGGCCAGTGTCCACAGAGCCAGGCAAAGACTTATCTGCATAAAGGTGCATGTGTTCATACCTTAGCTTGCCTAACAAAGTAGGAGTCAATAACTGTGAATTCAGTCTCTAGCCAAGGTCAGCATTAATTTGAGCAAGGGAGTGAGTAGGGAGTATCTTCTTGCTAATGACATTAACCTCTCCTTTTCTTATTTTCCAGCAAGGAAATTTTAATAGTTCCATTGGCTCAGATGGATACATGCTGTCCTCACTGACCTGTGGGATGTCACCAGTAACTTCTATTACAGAAGGTCTCCAGCAGGTAAGTTTGGGATGGGTCAGTATATAAAGAAAGTATCTCATTTTTAAGCCTAGAAGACCGAGGGGTGAGGAAAGCATCAATCACAGCAGCTTTTCAATATATAAAGGATTCTTACTGGAAAGATTAGCTCTTTTCTGTTTCTGTCAGGAATGTGAAAAGGAAATAGGTTTAAAGTACAGTGTGACAGCATTAAGTAGGGAAAATTCACTGCTAATAAACATTATAAGATACTGTGGAATAAGTTATCTGAGGGTGCTCATGGAATCCCTTTTCTGAAGGTCTCTTAAAAAGGGAAAGGGAGTTTCTATACACTTGGAGTGACTGAGGTGTGGTCCTGTCCAAAAGGGGATTACTTTGGGACTGGAGGAGTGGGGGAAAAGATAGACTAGATGATTTTAGATTATTCATTAGGTATGTATGGAATGCTGCAGGTTGGTGGCACAGTGGATACAGTGCAGGCCTGGAGTCAGGAAGACTCCTCTTCCTGAGTTCAAATCTGGCCTCAGACACTTAGTAGCTGTGTGACCCTGGGCAAGTCACTTCACCCTGTTTGGCTCGGTTTCCTCATCTGTAAAATGAGCTGGAGAAGGAAATGTCAATCAACTGCAGTATCTCTGTCAAGAAAACCCCAAATGGGGTCACGAAGAGGCGGACACACCTGAAAACAATTGGACAACAACAAAATGTATGGAATACCTTCCACGTATCCAGCTACATGCTATGTACCCTGGGGGATTCAATTCCTTAAGGGCAGGGACTGTTTTCTTTTTAGATTTGGTTCTAGGTAGAGGACGACGGAGGACACCAAAGAGGTTAGAATTAGGAAGACATAAAAATACAATTTAATTTGTTTTGGGAGAGCTCAGAAGAGATTGGCTTAACTGTAGCTAAGTTTGAACAGTAAAAAATTAGGTTGAATACTTTGATGGGGAGCTGATAATGAAGTGCTTGGAAAATCTGGCAGTTAGGTGGCACAGTGAATAAGAGCATTGGACTCAGGAGTCAGGAAGACCTGGGTTCAAATCAGCATCAGACACTTACTGTGTGACCCTGGACAAGTCACTTAACTTCTCTGTGCCTCAGTTTCCTCCATCTGTAAAATGGGGATAATAATATAATAGTACCTTCCTCCCAGGAGTATTGTGAGGATCAAATGAGATAACATATATGTACAGTGAGTACATATAAATTTTATAATTTATATATTGCTGTAAATTCTAAACCATATGTAAATATGTAAACCATATGTATTATCATTGTTATTGTTAAAAATCAGATGAAGGAGATGAGACTTGATCCTCATAGGCAACAGCAAGTTGCCATAGGTTCTTATAAATCATGTATTTGTGGTGAATGTAGTATTTTTAGGAATGTTGATTTGGCAGCAACGTGAATGATGTATTGTTGGGGACAGTATCCAGGACAGGAAAACCAGTTAGGAGAGCTAGACCACAGTGGTATTACTAAAGATGGAGAGGAAGGGAAGGAAGGAAGGATGGATGGACAGACTTACTAAGCACCTACTATGTGTTAGGCACTGTGCTAAGCACTTTACAAATATTATTTCAGGTAGGTGCTATTTTAACAGTAGTTACACAGCTAATCTGAGGCCAGATTTGAACACAGATCTTCTAGGACACATAGGCCCAGTGCTCTATCCATTGTGCCACCTGGCTGCCCCCCTAAATCCAAGTGGTATTTTGTAAGAGGAATCAGAAGGACTTCATGACAGGTTGGGCATAGCAATAAAAGAATGAGCCTTTAATACCCTAATACTTCATTCAATCTGTCTAACAATCAACAAGCATTTATTAAGCTCCTACTAAGTTAAGTACCAGGCTCTAGCGATACCTTACAGGAACATATATTCTATCATCAACATGTATGTGTGTGTGTGTGTGTGTATATATATATATACACACATATACACATATATGTATACATATGTATATATAAGTATATAGAAAATAAATGCAAGGTAATTTTGGAAGAAAAGCACTAACAGCTTGAGGAGGTCAGGGAAGGCCTCATGTAAAAGGTGGTCCTTGAACAGAGTTTTTAACGAAAGAAAGGATTCTAATAGATGGAGATAAGGAAAGAGTACAGTTTAGGCATGAAGAACATCCAGCCAGCATAAAAGCATAGAAATCATAGATGGTGTATAGTGTGTGAGGAACAGCAAGCAGGCTGGTCTGGCTGGGCTGCAGAGTACAGGTTGGAAATGTAGATAGCTAGACAGAGCATTTATTAAGCTCTCACCATGTGTCAGGCACCATGTGCTAAGTGCTGCTGGTCGTAATATAATCAAGCAAGAAAGTTCCTGCCTTCATGTAGCCTACATTCTAATGGAACAGGGAGAAGGGAGATAGTAAAGGGAGATGCTGCAAAGCAGGGTGGACATGATGAGAAGATGGCCTTGGTTCCTTGTAAGTTTTTGGTTTTGTTTTTTGGAGGCAATTGGGGTTAAGTGGCTTGCCCAGGGTCACACAGCTAGTAAGTGTCTGAGGCCAGGTTAGAACTCAGGTTCTCCTGACTCCAGGGCCAGTGCTCTATCCACTGCACCACCTAGATGCCCTTTGTAATGCTTCAACCCTTTAAAAATACTTAAATAGAAATTTTGGTCAAATACGCGTGCTTATGTATCAGGCATTTAATGCTTGAACATGAGCTGGACCATCGCCAGTCATCTTGACTTATGCCTTGCCAATGGACTCCAATGACTGTGGAGGAGAGAGTGAGGCTAATTACTTTGCATAGCTTTGCCTCACTTAAATCTAATTCACTCACAAGTTAAGATATCACCCATCATATCCTGATGTCATTGGTCTTCTTTGAGGGCAAAGGACAAACAACAAACAAACAGATAATGGCTTGAGAGGTTAAATGACTTGGCCAGGACCACACAGCTAGTATCTGAGATAGGATTTGAACTCAGGTCATCCTGATTCCAGTTTCAGTGCCCTGTGCTGCCTAGCTACTTCATACAAGTGGAACACTAGTGGGTGATGACAAGGCTGAAGGCTGTGACCATTCTTCTGTACAGCTGAGATAGAGTGGAATAGGGGAGCAAAGAGGTTGAAGAGATGAAGGACTTGGGGAATTAGAGAGTGTGAGTGGATATCTCCTGGTGAAAAGGCAGGACTTTCACTAGAGACAGAGACATTGAGGGGCTGAATTCCTTGAGAAAGGAGGTAGAATGACCTGTGGGCTCATGGCTCTAGCATTGGGATTGGGTGATAAATCTGGAGATGGAGTGAATCTCAGAGGACCAGAGGTCACAAATGAGTTTCTTCTTTTTGTGGTTTACGTGAATGTTGTTTTTACAATTGAAGTTCTTAGTAGAGCTTTCTTTGATTTAAAGCAGACTAGAATGTGTCTGAGAAAATCATCCAGTCCAATGTCAAGATGCCCTTAAAAGCACTTCTGGCATGACTAATGTGGAAATATGATTAATATGATTGTGCATGTATAACTTATATCAGATTGCTTGCTGTCTTGGGAGGGGCAGAGGAGGGAGGGAAAATTTTGAACCCAAAATTTTATAAAAGTGATGTTGAAAACTATCTTTACATGTAATTGGAAAAAAATAAAATACTGTTAAGTGTATGGGGGAAGTACTTTTGAAATGATCTGTTGAATGAGCTGAAGACTCTCAGTCACTTCCCTGCATCCCATCTCCACCCCATCCTTCCACTTTCTCTTTCAGATAGTCACCATGGGTCTTTTCCGAACTATTGCTTTATTCTACCTTGGAAGTTTCGATAGCATCATCCGACGATGTATGATCCAGAAGGCAAAGTCTGAAACTGTGGACAAAACAGCTTGATCGTCATTCCAAAAAGCAAAGAATGGTTTATTCAACAATTTGGACAGCTTGCTGCTAACTGGGATCTGACCTGTAGACTGGTGCAAGGGGGTTTGGATGCATGGAGTTTGAACAGCTGTTTTTTCTTCGGGAACCTGGATGAAAGCAAGAAGACAAAAATAGAATTCCAGGAGATATTAATACTATGCAAATATGAGGATGAAGACTTTTTGATTCTCTGGGTTCTGAGGTAGAGAGATGGTGTGGGAAATGATGGACTGTAAGAAGTGGGAGAAAACATGACTTTGGACTGGGTTACTTGTTGGTAATTCTAAACACTGACTTGTATTTCTTTTCTCTTATTCTTTCCCCATCCCCCTACCCCTGGTGGTGATAGAGACCAAAAATGAATTTTGTGGCACATAAAGTCATGAAGATTTTTTTAATTATTTAGGTCTCAACCAATTTTTAGGGTGGTTTTCAAAACTCAGCTTACTTGATTCATGACAATTTTTTCCCATTGTCAGTAGGTTTAAACTGATACCCTTTTACAGTATAGCCATCACGCTTCTATATGCTCCTGGTGGAAAAATGTTAGATGGCAGCATTATCTCTCAACAATCCCAAATGGAAACAAATTCTGCTGTATGACTACAGCTACAAATTGGGGGTAAGAGGAGGTGGGGGGAGGTAGAGAGCAGGGTGGTAACACAAGGCATAATTTAAAGACGAATATTTCCTAAAGAGAGTTTTAAAAAATTTCTCTCCAGGTTAAAATGCTTGGGGAAATTTCCCTCTACTAACCTATGGTGAAAAGGCAGTCTTCTAAAATGATGTTTTGAAGAAAAAATAAAATTTTAGAAACTTCATTGTTTACAATATCTTAAATAGCCATAACCTGAAATTCATATATTCCCTTTTATCCTATTCATTTCCTTCCCTCTTCACTTTTACCTAAAATACTACTGTAATATTTACATAAAAAATTAAATTTAATAAGAGAATTTGTGTCGATTAAAACACAAGTTGTGAAATTCTTGCAGTGGCATATACTTAACTTTCATGAAGGCTGAAGATTGAATAGATAAATTTTGTTCCCTAGGGTACCATTCATTGAGATGGTAAGTCCCGTGATGCATCTGTTCAAACCAAACAACACACAAGACCAATGTCACACTTTTCTATAAATTTATTAGGACAACCCACACTTTGCTATGAGAGAGCCTTACCTTTGCACCATATGTTAATGATGCCTACATAACCTACCCTCGCAATGCTTTTATAAGCTGTTATCTCTAAGAGCCCCCTTGCTCCCAGGAATGCTGTTTCCAATGAGCAGGACCATTGTTCATTTAATGGACTTCCATAGTAAGTGCCTATGATGAGCTTTAGCAAATGCTGCTTGTTTCATACTGGCCATTATTAGCTCTTCTCAGTTGGAGGGCTGTTGTCTGCATTTCCATTCTAGAGTCCTCTCCTAGGTACATTTGTGTAGTGAGGCCATTTGGATTCACTTTTATGGAAACAGGCCTCTTCTGGTGGTCACACAGAAAGGATTTTGTTTAAAAAAATCATATATGTATGTGTATATATACATATAGGTATACATATATACTTGTAGCAAAACTGGGGAGGAGAGTAAATATATTGCTCTTGATCTTTGGAACTTCTTGGTTTAATTTTAAAATAAAATGGTATTGTATGCCTTTAATCCATGATAGCTTGATGTAATTTGCTTGCAGTGACTTCATAACATTAGACAAGGTGACAATAATACTTTCTTAGTTGTGGCATCCAGGGTAGTCTAAAGAAATGACTTTTAGACCAAGCAAAGTTGCATATGACAGCAGATCTGCTGAAGTGGTATTTCAAGGAAATATCAGGCTTTTTTGTTATATATGTATTCCTTGTAATATACAGCTATACCATTAAAAGGATCTGACCTCAACCAAAGCACGAGAATGTTTTAAAGGCTATAGCTCTAGTTTTTTCCCAGCTGGCTCAGGTAGGCAAATGACTCTCATAGCACTAGCCTTTTTCTTCCAAAAGTTTCCTGAGCCAGATTATTTTGATAGCATCCCTTCTTAGGGCCCCCTTCCTTCAGAGATCTCATTTTATGCCTGCAAACAGGGTAAATTGTGCCCGTGGTAAAAGATATTCAATTATAGTTATACTCAAAAGTTGGTCTTACTTCTCTATGTGATCTGCAACAGTTTATTACAAGAATTTCAGTTCTGGAGTCCTTGGCTTTGAATGGTTTGGGTTGCATTGTTTTATTATATGTATATTTATTTTTAAAACTTTTAATTGCATTTAGTTTTAAAAGTTCTATAAGAAGTTTAGAGAACCATTCATTTTGGAGAGAGTTATAAAACAGTTATCCTAGTTTTTAAAGGAAAAATCCCTATTGATCATTTTTTTGTCCAGGTTAATAATTTGCACAGCTGATAGAAGAAAAGCTAAAATATTATATTATTGTGAGCTTCGCAGGTTGACATCCTAATGACACTAAGTTTTACATGTTTACTGCAGATTCTTTCTTTGGTTATGTTTAGTATATTACTGACAGTTTCTGCATAAGCCTTTCAAGAGGATTTTTCAGTAGGTTAAATGGCAAAAGTATTATTTTGGTGAAGATACAAAGAGAGAAAAAGTAGATCGTGTGTCTCTACCAGGCAAAATGGATACTAAAATAACTTTTTTCCCCCACCATTATCTGAACCACAGATTTAATCAATTTGTTGCATCATGTTCTCAATAAAAAAATGGATGTCCATTTGTGACCAACTTTCAAAATTTGTACTTTTTTTGATAGTCTAATGCATTGTATCTTTCTCGTTTCTCTATCATTCCCAGGAGGCATTACATTTAATGTATACACTAATCACGATGTAACTCCAACTATCCTAAATCTCCCTGCTTATAACCATGGTGTGGGGCAGTAACAATAGATTTGATATTTTATTAAGCCTAAAAAGAGGGAAATAGCTAGTTATATTTTTCTTGATGTGAAAATTCTACACACTTTTAAACTGAAAAGGATGTGTGTATATGTCTATTTTGATACATACCAGAGCTTGGGCTTGCTGCTTTGTGAGCATTTGTGCCAGAAATGTAAACTAATTTTCATATCTTGTATTTCTCAGAAACAAAAAATAAATGGGGAATGAGGTTTACAGATTTGAGGGTTTATTTTTACACAAATGGTGCTTTCTTTAGATACCTGAGCACAATAAAAAAGAGTTTGTGCTATTTAACCTTTGCATTCCAAGTACTTGGAGAGTATGGAATTTTTTTTTTTAGACAGTTGGGGTTAAGTGACTTGCCCAGGGTCACACAACTAGGTAAGTGTCAAGTGTTTGGTCTGAGGCTGGATTTAAACTCAGGTCCTCCTGACTTCAGGGCAGGTGCTCTATCCACTGCACTACCTAGCTGCCCTAGTATAGCATTTTTTAAAAGCACATAATATGGTTGCAGTAAATGTTTCATACATTTATCATTTTCCTCCCAAGTAAGTAGAATGTGAGACTAGAACCTAGAAGATCTGAGTTCAAGTCTGTTAGCTGCATAGGCAAATCATAATCACTCAGAAACTGTTTCCTCTTACGAAATGGGGATAATAACTTGAGCTCACTTTTCTAAAATGTGTTAGAGTTTATGAAGTGCTTTCCTTAGAGGAACCCTCTAAGAAAGATAGGGAAAGGATATTTATGCCCATTTTATAGAGGGGGAAGTTGAGAATCAGAAGTTAAGTGACTTGCTGAGGGTCACACAACTGGTAAGAGAAGAGAACCAGGACTTGAACCTAAGTCTTCTACTAAAACTATATCTCAGGATTGTTGTGAGGATCAAATGATACACAAGAAACTGCAAAGCATGAGGTGAATGTGTAGTAGCATTATTTTTTGATCTGTGTTGTACATCCCTTTCATTGGAAATTCAAGGGAGAAAGAGGAAAGAAATTTTTCAATTTCAATTCAAAATCCAATGATTTGGAGTTTAAATGCAAAGAAATATCCTGCCCATACATAAACAGTACTCAACCTCTGACTGCTAAGTTGTTCTATCCTTATTTGACTACAAATGGCAACAGGTTATAAATACACAATATATAAATACAGCTCTTTAAGAACAACTAATTTTCTTCCCCAATCTTTACCTCAGAATTTTTAGATTTTTTTTTTTTCAGTGATGGCCACTTATAAAGTTAGAATTGATCATTTAAGAGCATTTTTCCCTCTGGGTCATGTGAATACCAAGATGGCAGATTAGATATTTTGTCTAATCCCCACAACCTCTCGGGTCTCTATAAAACAGAAATTATGCACCAAAAATAAAGCAACTTCAGCTGAATCCAAGGGCTAGGACACTCAGAATCCAACAGAAAGCTTAAGGGACATCACATTCACTGACTCTTGAGTTCACTCAGCACCCCTTCCCTACCTCCCATGGTACCAGCACTAAGAATACACTAGCAGACCCAAGACATGACAGAGGCTTACATCAAAACCCATCCCTGTACCCCATGCTCCCCTCCATTTTACCAAGGCTGGAGAGACCCCAGCTCCAGGCTGCAGAAGTTTGCTTGCGGCTTGACAGGCAGTTTGGCTGCAGCTCTTCTGGAGCAAAAGCTTCCTGAGGCCCACAGCCTAGAAGCACTAGCACTGCAAAGCTCTGGAGTGGTGGTGCCAGGCCAGAGCACTGGGGAACTGAGGTGGTGAGATAGTTCACCAAAATAGGACACCATGTATTTGGGGAACTGTGCAGCTGTCTACCAAGCTTGAGGGAAGAGCCCAGCATCCAGCTGGGGCTATTTTTTTTTAAATTTTTTTTAGGCAATTGGGGTTAAGTGACTTGCCCAGGGTCACACAGCTAGTAAGTGTCAAGTGCTTGGTCTGAGGCCAGATTTGAACTCAAGTCCTCTTCAGGGCCAGTGCTTTATCCATTGCGCCACCTAGCTGCCCGTAAGCTGGGGCTATTTCTGACCAGCCAAAAGTCATTTGGGGCGGAGACCTAGGCCAGTGAATTCAAGCCCTCTATGAAACCACAATTAGAAGGAAGGGCATCAGGAAATGAGTAGTAATGAAAATGAGGGGGGAAAGAACTGAAGCTACCAAAGATTTCAGGAAGAAGGAATCTCAAAGACCCGAACATAAGGAAATAAATCAACAGAAAAAAGCAGTAACAACAGAAGGAAACATGGCCTCCAGATATAATAAACAAGTTCAGGCATCAATGGATAATACTACAAAACAAAGGAAAATGATGCAACACTTAAAGAGACACAGGACCCTGTTGAGTGTGAGGAGAACATAGAAGTACAACATGCTGTTCCTGAGTGGTTTAAAAGAGAGTTATGAGCAGAATTTATACCCTACTCCACAAAAACAAGGAGCAGAATAGGAAAACGCATCTGCAATGGCAAGCCTCAGCAAAGAAACAAAAGAAGGAACAAAAAGATTGGAAATGCAAATACACAGAAGTGAAAGACAACCTAGAAGAAGAGGAGCAAAAAGCAAGAATGTTAAGAGAGAATGTGCTCCATATGCAAGCAAAACATGCTGATCTCAAAGACAGGATGTATAGAATCAACCCAAGGATCATAGGTCTTCCAGAAGAATGTGACAGGCAAAAAACCCTTAACACCATAATGAAGGAAATAATAGAAGAACTGCCTAGAACTTCTGAACATAGAAAGTGAAATTCCAATTGAAAGAATTCACAGATCACCTCTAGAAAAGAAACAACTTTAGGTCAGAAACTCCAAAATGCATAGTGGTTAAATGTAACAATTCATTTTAGAAACAACAAATTCTGCGAGCCATCCAGAGAAAGACCTGTAAATTCAAAAAGGAGAGGACATTTGAATAACAAAACTATTCTGCTCCCACTAGAAAAAGTAGGAGGGAATGGAATAATGTGTTCTGAAGAGCAAGGGAGCTCAAGGAGTAGTCCAGAGTCACCCATCCTGCAAATTTGAGCTTAACCATACAAGACAGAAGATGGATGTTCAATAATAAAAATATTTTGAAGCATTTAAAAAATGAAAATCAGAACTGAAAAGATTATTTTTTTCTCAAACACTCCAAACAACAGAAATGCAAAAGAAGTGAATAAATGTAGCAGGCAAGGACATTAATTAACAGCAACAGAGTGATAACAGGGAGACAAATAAGAGATTTCTCTTTAGATGTACACAAGGAGACTGTAAAAGCAGAAATCTGGTAGAAGTAACAACAGTGAAGAAGCAGATGGGGCATAGTGGACAGATGTTCACAACACTCTGCTTACAGGTGAATACTTCTTTTGTGGGACTACATTACAACATGGGAGGGTACATAAAAAAGAGGGAGAGGAGCAGGGGGATAGAGAAGAGTGTGTGATGGACTACAGTCTAATCAAGGGCTAGTAATGAGGGGAAGGTGACCTTTCTGTTCTCAGAGAAAAGCCTACAAGGGAGTAGGTAAGGAGTAGGGTGCAAAGATTGAAAAGAAGGGGAAAGAAAGGAAGCTTGACTTTGGAGGTGGGAAGGGGCTTCACGATAAATGTTCCTTTGGGTGAAGAGAGATAATTGGTGAAGGAGATGAGTCTCTTACACTGAATGAAGCCTGGAGGATTTGGGCTTAAAGTTTACTTGTCCTGGGAGTGAGGAAGTTGGAACCCTTGGGGACAACTGACACCTGGAGATGTGGAAGAGCATGGACACAGGGAGGAAATTTTCAGGCAAATTTAGAAGAAAAAAAAAGGATCAATAAGAGAGGTATAGATCAGTAGGGAAGAAGGGGCCCTGCCATGGGGCAGTGTCCTCTTTGATACCTGCAATACTTGGCATTGTTTTGGGAGTAAGGCACAATGGAAAAAGGGAATCCATGGAGTAAACCCTACAAGTAATGGAAGAAATTGCCTAGAGGTGAGGAAATGGAGGGGATTGGGACAGCAAGTGGTTAATTGTGGGAACTGAGTGAGCCACAATGACTCCATCTTGTGACTCAGTTCTAGAGCAAGTTAGTTTCCTTTCTATTCAATTATGGGTCTAGTCCAATTTATGTCTTGTGAGGAAAAAATCATTCAAGTGTGGGAATTGGAGAAAACCTTGTTGTATTGTTTGCATCTAGCCCTGTGTGTCTGGGAAACTGGACCACCTCTATCTGCTGTTTAGAGACCTTTAACTAAGGACCTAGGTTATGCTGACCAGAAACTCAGATCCAAAGATTGATGAACAACCCATGTGTCTTATCTGAAAACTGGTCTCCTACTGATCAATCAGGTATTGTTTCTGTATTCCTTTGATTGTTTACAGACATTGTTTACAGACATGGGGGAGTGGGACATTTTTTCTGAATTCAGGGAATTGCAGATGTTCACTCTTCCCCTCTGTGAGAGATGATCTCTGAGAATCTGTTCTGTTGAAACACTTGCAGCTGGTTGACCTTGTAAAGAAACATGCTTTTCAACTTTCTCAGACCTCCTCCTCCCTCTCTAAAACTATTTACTCTAAAAAGAAAAAGAAAACCTCCTGTCTCCAGGCAAGTTGTAAAAAGTGTCCTTGTTCTTTGTTGCTGGGGTAGATTGCCTCGAATAGATTGTACCCTCAGAGCTTGCATTAATGAGCCCTGAGGAAGGGGGGGAAGGGGATTGCACTAGGACCTATATAACCTGTTGATCTGAACACACCTCTGCTCTCTTCAGTCAGCGCCAATTTTTTAGTGTTCTGAGGGAGCCCTTTCTCGAGAAAGCTAATAAATGAATTTTTCTTTTTGCTAATATCTCTGAGTCTCCGATTCATTGATAGGGGTCTCTGTACCCACACACCTCCCAACTTGGAAAGTCCCTAATCTTTCCTCCAATTAGAAATCAGATTACCTAATGGTGTAGTGGTTCCTTTTAATTAATTAGCCTTATCTGAATAATTTTTTTAATGGATAAAAGTCTGTCTCCCCCTATATTTGGGGTCCAGCCCAAGCCAAGGAGGCCTGGTCCTGGTTTGTTGAGCAATTGGCATGCATTGCTTTATAAATTGAAATGCATAGAAGTTTGAACCTTTGTTTCCACATTCATTTCATCTTTCACCTGCCACAGAGGGGACAGCCTAGAATGGATACCTTAGCAGCCTTGATTGCATGAAGAATATAGACAAAGAGGGAGACCAGATAATTATAGGGGGCATGAATCAGAAAA